GGGTTAGCATTGAGTCAACCTAACCCTTAAAAAAATTACCTTACTTTGTATGTTTTTGCTGTTTTACACTCTTCATAAATAGTACTATTGAGCCTATAAAGCAGTTATGTGCATTTAATAAACATATGAAGGCATATTTATTATAGCAACACAAAGGTGAAATGCTGTGTGAACACGGCAATAACCCATGGCAGCCAATAAGATTTTATCTTACAGAAGTGGTGCCAGTTAAAGATGAAGATTGACTTTGCTATTTGCCTTTTTTTATGAGCCCAGTAATGTCAGTAGGTTAAGGTTGCCTTTTTGGTTTGTAATTAGCAAACACATTTTCATAGCAGTGGATATGATTGATATTCTATCACAGAAACTATTGCATCAATGTGTAATATAACTGGAGGTCATATTTTATCATGAGGATTAGTGTGATAAATGCAAATCTACTCGTTTTGAAGAATTAATCTTAAAGTGTTACATACCCACAGATAGCCCAGTTACCTAATTACAAAGGTTTCAAGGCCATAAACTGTTATAGAAAATAAGATTTATTTACTGTGTTCGGCTCACTTCACTTCTGATCGGTCATTCACTCGGCTGCCCTCGGCAGCTTTGTGAATAGACCCCATAGTAGTTTTTTCAATTCTAGTCTTTTAGGACTGCATCATTGCAAATAATAGGAAGAAACAGTTATTCAAACAACTTTTATCTATACATCTTTCATTTTATTCAGAATATTTCCCCTTTCTGATTGTGATTGTGATACTGTGGAGTTTCCTTATGTATAACTGGAATATTTACCAATTGTCCCAGATGGTTAATGTTTTATTTTTTATTTTCGGGTGGGAATGGCACCACATTCCCATGTCTTTTTCCATGACTGCTGCCAATGATGTATGAGTGACTATTTTACAACATTTCTAACACAGATAGAATGGATGACATAAGACCTTGTAGCAAATACAAAACAAATGTTAATTGGTATGTTGTGCTTTTTCATGGCATGTGTGATTTGTTAATTATTTACTATCATCTTAGCAAAAATATAGACAAAAACACCTTTTTTTTAATTCAGTGAATATTTGTTAAAGAAGGTGGTTGGATATTCCAGAATTACATATTACAGAAGCTAAGTTTACACTAAACGTCTGCACAAAATTGTGCACACACGTTGAAGGAATATTATAACACATTCCATGACACTTTGTAATGTATTCCTTAAACAATAATTAAAAAAATTGAAATGAATATGTCTGATTTCCTTGTGTTTTATGTTAGAGTGTAGGTGCTTGAAAAACAGAGTTTAACAGAGGCACAAAATGTTATACATAGGTAACATTAGTAAATAAGAAAAATTTCTTAAGCTGTACAACTTATATTTGTTGCAAATATTCTAGATCAGTGGTGGTTAACTTTCTTGCACAACTTTAAATCGATCACTGCTATTACAGCTTGCTACAGCCAACTTAAAAATTACTTTGATATCTCTCTCAATCCATTACAAAATATAAAAGAAAAAAGGCAGAGAAAAGGGCTGGACTGCACAGAAGAAAAGTAAGATATGGTAAAAAAAATAGACCAAATCATTTAACTACTAAAATCCAGTTTAGCCAATCTATCCAAAGAAAGTAAGATATAGTGCATAATCTGCTGGGGGTCAGAGAATCTGCCCAAGTTTGGTTCGCAGGAGGTTAGTAAGACTCATGAACCCTGAACTTAGCACCGAACCCTATTGAAGTCTATAGGAGCTGAATCTTGATCATATGTTCTGGCAATTTTAAAGGCTAATAGGCAAGTTATTGGCAAAAAATGGCATGGAGGCTGTCATGGGGGCTATGTGCCAATGCAAAAACAAAATATCGCACAGTGGGGGGAATTTCTTTTACGGAAGCTTAGAGGGCAACTTTAAAAATACACAAAACTTTTAAATTACATGCTTGGGGATGCCTTAAAGCTGCACATGTGTTACAGAAGAGTATGATTGTTATGGACAGTCTCAGCGACAGTATGCACTGGCAGTGCATATTTGGCTGTCATTTTTTTTTTAGTATATAATTAGCTTGGCTTGCATACAGCAGCACCCCAGCCTGATTTATTGCAGTTTGGATGTAATAACTGAAACAAATAAGGCATTGGGTTCCCTTTAAAAATACACCAAGCACCTTATCCAGGCATGCAGCATGGGTGTTTAAAACCAGGCCACATGCCATTCAACATTGGGGGGCCATCTAAGATTCCCCCTTGCATAGTACACTTGTCCAGATGCTAAGGGACAAGGGCCTCTTCCCCGCATCAGGTGCCCCAAGAAGGAGGTGGGAGTAATTTGGGGGGACTTATAGTGGAATCTTAAAGCCCCCTTCCTAATAAGGTGCCCCACAATGTTGAAAGGCATGTGCCCTGGTCGGGTACAGGAAGGGGGCTATCTCTTTACCGCAAAGGATAAGGGTCTGGTTGCTATTTTTTTTTTAAGCATGTAGTTTTTTATTCAGATTTGTCATAAAAAAGAATACAGAACAAAATACATATCATAGTACAATCTGCATCCTGACTTGTATACTTGCAGTTCTGTGACATACAACTGAAGATGACATGCGATACAGTAGTACATTGATGCAGTGCTAACTATATAGAAATGTATTGCCTTCAGTAATAATGCAGAGGTATAACAGTCTTAATTCAAGGCCAACAAACAAACAAAAACTAGAGCAAGAACAAGATTCGCAATCACCTTTAGATTTAGCAGATTCGTTCGTACCCTTTGGGGGAAGGGACCAGCAGGAACATAGGGAATCCTGAAGGCCGGGGAAGACGTGAGGGGCATCAGTGGGGACATTACTCCCGGTACCTTAAGGATTTTCCTCACTTCCCGCCAGGTAATTATGGTGTCCCGCAATAAAATGTTTCCCTTAATGTTGGGGGGAAGGGCCCACCAAGGGGTATGGATAATACCCAAGAGCGTCCAAGGCGATACTGAATGTTGTTCTAGAGGCGTATTGGTGAAAAATGTGGTATCCTGCAACCAGTCCCTCACATGCCGGAATAGACTCGCAAGATTGTACAGTCTAATGTTAGGTACATTGGCCCCTAAAAGTTGTGTAGGAAGTTGAAGTTTGCGGAAAGCTATCCTAGGTCTTTTTCCTCTCCAAATGAATTTGGAGAAGGCCGCGTTGAGATTGCTGACGTCTTTATGTTTTAGGAGGAGGGGTATGGTCTGTAACGGATATAACAGTCTTGCGAAACTGATCATACGGATCAAGTGACATCTGCCTAATAAAGACAGCGGCAGGTCCCGCCACCTGTGTAGTTCTTGGGTAATTTTCTTAAATAGGGGTTCATAGTTAAGGCGGTATAACTCTGTTGCATTACCGGATATGTGAATGCCTAAGTATGTAACATAGTGTTTCTGATTCTTGATGGTACAGTCCAAGGGCCATGTTGACGTGTCAAGGGGGGCGCTGTGGGGCAGCATTAAAAGTTCGCTTTTATGAAAGTTAATTTTCAGCCCAGAAAAGGTGCCAAACTGAGTGATATGTTGTATTACGCTAGGTACTTGGAAGGAGGGGTCGGATAACAGGAGCATGATATCATCCGCGAATAATGCTATTTTAAGATCATCTGGACCTACCCGGAGGCCTGAAAAGATTTGGGATGAGGATAGTGACCATGATAGTGGTTCTAGGGCCAAATTAAAAAGTAAGGGGGAGCGCCCTGTTCTGGGAAACCGCCTTTGCAGTTTCCCAGAACAGGGCGGGATTAGACATATGTTCAGAATTATCTTCTGCATACTCACGCCACCATTGTTGGAGTTGTCCTTGGAAGGTGTCGTCATGGGCCAAGTAGGAAGGGAACCTCCAAATGGTGGGGTGAGTAGGCGACCCGACATTCATAACAGTCAGTAACACAGGGGCATGATCCGAGATGACTAGGTCCTCTACTGTCACCGAGACCAGATGCGGTATCATAGTGGGGGCGGCAAAAAAATAAGTCAATGCGGGATAGCGTGTTGTGCGCATGAGAAAAGTGTGTAAATTCTCTGTCCAGTGGATGTAGGTACCTCCATAGATCCAGTTGTCCCATGGCTTCAATCCAGTTGAATAGATGCTTGTCTTGGGGGTTGCTCGCCTGAGGAGGGGAGGGAGATTCTCTGAAGCGATCTTCCTGGAAGGACGGTACAGCATTGAAGTCTCCCCCGATTAGGAGAGGGCTATCAGATTGGCGTGAGGATAGGCGGATGGCCAGGCTGTCAAGGAAGGGCTTATTGTCCGAATTGGGACCGTATATGTTCCAGAGTTCTAAAGATTGTGTACCCAGTTGAAGCGTCAGGAAGGACCATCTACCGGACTCCTCGTCACACTGGTGGTCTATAACAGTGTGAGGTAGAGATTTGTTGACAAGCGTGATGACCCCTGCTGATTTGCCCGATGCTGGAGCACCTATGACCGTGCCAACCCAGGACTGATGCATGCGGGCTATGTCCGTCGCTTTAAGATGGGTTTCCTGCAGGAGCGCAATGTCCACATTGAGCCGTTTCAGGTGACGGAGAATCCGTCTTCTTTTGTTGGGTGACTTTAATCCCTTGACATTCCATGAAATTATATTCAGGGTGGGTCCCATTGATGAAACGGAGCATCAGGAGTTGTAGGAGCAAGTAGTGTTGTAAAAGAAGGAGGGACATCTTTGGGTATCCCAGCACCCCCGAAGCAGCCATAGAGTCCGATCCCATTGCCCTCAGGGCCTGCGTGTGAGTGTGAAAGGTCACTCCAGGAGTTGGTATCAGAAGGGAGCCCTTTCATATGTTGGAGACCCCAGCGTAGTATGGTAGGTATCAGGTGATTGCGAGGTTGGACTAACGTGATCAAACAATGAACAGCAATAACTGGAAATTCAAAAAACACCAGAAGGAGAAAAAAAATAGAAAAAATAATAAACAATAGTAACAATCCGTGGTTTGTACTTCCTTTTTTCCCAATGCAAGCGGTTGCGAACTGACTGAGGGTGGGGCAACCATGACACCCACGTGTGCAGTCAGCATCAGGAGTGGTTCGAAGAAAGAAAGAGACGGCCCCGTCCCGTCTCACGGGGTCATGCAGACCACTCAGGACCCTCCACGTCAAAACAGCACAGGTAGTGCAAACAGTGATGTGTATCCGGAGCACCGAGTGCGGCAGAGCATCAGCCAGTAGTGAGAGGTAGGGAGACATCCTCCATGCAGCTGAGGATACTTCAGGCTTTTTTCTTCCTCTGCGGGCTTTTCACTCTCCATGTCCCCGATCGTGGCCGGACTGAGAGGGGTGTTGTGAAGGGGTGGATGGTGCTCCGGTGAGAAGATTGGCCAGGAGTACGGGACGGAGCTCGGGGCCGCTCGTCTATCGCATTAGGCGCCGGAACCGGAAGTCCTGGTTGCTATTTTAAGAAGAACCCAGCACCATTTTTTACCTTTCACACTTGGTAACAAAAGTTGTATTCATGTGAGGAGTGAAGTTATTGGTCCACCTTAAATGTACAATGCCAACCATGCTTAAGGAAACAAGCACTAGTTCATGTTTTTAAAATAGTGAACTGGGCCATATAAAATAGTACTAGCAGAGGGTCATTACAGTTTGGCTTCAGAGGAGAGCAATAAAAAATGTGGTCTCCTTTGTCTTTTTACTAACATGGGATCACAAGTCAAAAGGAGGAAACAGAATTTTATCACAGTGAAATGACTGATGGTCAATACAATTTTCCTATGCATAAACTGGATATTTTATTAGTACTGTTATTATAATTATTATTGTTTTTTGTGAAGGGTAATTTCTAAGTGGAATCTACCACCCTATGATAAAGAATCGGAAAATATGATTGATTATAATGAATGGTTGAATTTGATAACAGATACATAAACTTGGATTCTCAAATAATTTTACAACCCACATTTTCAAAGGCCTATTCACACTGACATGCTTCTGTAATGCGTGTGTTACTGCAAGGCATGGTAACATGCGTTTATGCAATGTGGTGCCATTCATTCTCAAAGACACTTGCATTCATCTTTTGTGTGTGATAGGCAACCCATTCAGCTAGCGCAACATGAAACTGTGAACCAAATATAAGGGCAGGTGTATATGTTCACTTAAGAAGCATCTGGGCCCACCAGCACCAACCATATGCATTGCAAATAATCTCAGTATTGAATAGCCCTTTAGTGGTGCATTATACTACTCTCAGCAAAACAGTCAAGGATGCACGAGAATGCTGCATGCAAGATCAGAGCCGGCGCTACCATACAGACAGCACAAGCGGCCGCTTGAGGGCACTGGTGGGGGAGGGCTGAAAAACACCTCCTCACCCAGCTCTCTCTGCTCTGTGCTCTCTCCTAAGCTTGCTAGTGCTATTCCTGCACTGTCCCGGCAGAGATATTTACATATGAATGGGCCGTGGTGATTTGTATTGGCAGTCAGCGTGAATACTTTCGTTACATTGGCGGTCAGTGTGAATACTTTTGTTACATTGGCGGTCAGTGTGAATACTTTTGTTACAGTAGTCTTCCTTTTCTCTAAATTCTTCGGAGCTAATTTGTTTGACCTGTAACATGGATATCACAGATCTCCTATTAGGTTTGGAGCGCTGCTTTATGGAATATCTTTGCAGGGCTAGTGCTGCCATAAGACTGCCTGAGGGTGCCGAGGGAGGAGGGCAGTAAAACGCACCTTCGCCTGTTTAGGCAAAAACCTTGCATCGGCCCTGTGCATGAGGACACTGCATGCAACAGTGGGGATAGGAGTGGTTCCGCTGTGCTATTTAATCTCGAACGCCCGACAGTATCAGGAGAGAGGAGGGGACACGGCGGCATACCTTATCCCGCAGCTGCCATTGTTGCTTTTTTGCATCTAAAATGTGTCTCAGATGCAAGATTCTCCCTGAAAAAACACTTGTGTGCAAGCTGAGTTAGAGAGTTAAGTATGATTTTTGTGTATGCTAAATATGGTTGGTGTATTATTTAAAAGAAAGCTATTGTTTTTTAAAGTTCTCTTTAGGGTCACAGGAGGACATTTAAAAAATCCAGCATATAGCCCACTATATGCTTACAGCGCAGTGCCACGCTGTGGCCGGGAAATAGTGTTGGGAGAGCCAGCTGTGCCCACCACCTCTCTGTCCATCCCTCCAGTCAATATTGGAGAAACAGAGAGGGGAATGGTTACGGACAGTCACCGCTCTCTGCAGGGAGAAGATCGGGAACTGACCATTCAGCGGTATGTGATCGCTCAATTCTTGCTCTAAAGAGCTGACCGCTCTAGTGTCACATGTCGGTTCTAATTATGGGGATGAGTGTATTTCACTCTCCCCATAATTCTCCTTTAAAGGAGAACTATGAGACTGTCACAGGTCGGCTCAGTAGATCGGGAGGTGAACGAACACATACCGACGTTCGCTCACCTCTCGATCCTGCCACGGCTCTCTGCCGTGACAGGGGAGGGGCTGGATTCCCCCCTCTCCGATCCGCCAGCGCTGACTGGCGGAACGGACAGGGGAAGGGGGGGACAGCTGGCTCTGCCTCTAGATAGGCAGAGCCAGCTGTCAGTCACGCAGCTGGGCGGATCCCGGCACAATTGTCGGGATCTGCTTCAGCTGCGGCGTCTCAGTATACCGTGAGCTACAGCTCGCGGTATACTGAGCCTAGGGTGACGGGAGCACGCTAGTTTGTGTCCTCCCGTTACCCTAAGGAGAACTATGGGGAAAAGCCTTAACCCCATAGTTCTCCTTTAACTGACATCTTATTTACAGCAGAGTGAATGTTGTACTTTATACTCCTCAATAGAACTAGATTTTTACTATATGTGTCCCTATTTAGAAGATTCCTGTCACTTCCAATGTGATTACTGATACAGGAAGTGAGGGGAAATCTCCTAACTATACATTCAGACAGCAAGCGACACACAATAAGATAAATGTTCCATTTACTGTGCAAGTGTAAATAACTAACATAATGATAGGCACTCTAGGTCTTTTAAAGTGCTTTAAATATGTTAGTAATTTAGCAGGCATCAAACAGTCTAGCATGCAGAGTTTATTAGGTTCCACAATAATCACACACTGTAATAATATTGGCTTCATTACCAAAGGTGAAACATATTGCTTCTTCTTTGGTTCTAGAGACTTGGCTTGTTGCTAGAATGGATTTTCATGTTTTAATACACAAAAAAAGAACAACTATAGCTGCAGGCTTAAAAGAAAGAAACATCTCACTGGCAGAGTCACTTAAATTTGATGTTAAGGGTTTTTACTTGGAAACTCGGCAGATTTTAAACACCATAATTTACATCTCAGAAAATGTGTGAAAATAACTAATTGAACCATCTAATTAAACCAATTTCAGTGATATTTTGACATAATGCTTTTCACATTTTGTACTTAAATTATCATTATTCATTATCCCATACAATACATATACAAAATATACTCTGTACAGAATTTCCCTAGGGTTATAAGAAAATACTCTTAACCTCCCTGGCGGTATTCCTGAGTCTGGCTCGGGGTTAATTTTCAGTACCAGGAGCGGTAACCCCGAGCCAGACTCGGGAATGCACAGAAAAGTGTCACTTACCTTGTCCCTGCGAGCTCGCAGCGTCCTCTGCTGTACGCGGCCGGCATCTGAGTTTTATTTTCGTTTTTGGGCATCACAGCGGGGGGCGGAGCCGGCGGGAAATTCAAAAGTGAAAAATTACATTCACACAGAATACACAGAATACAATGCAATCTGCTATAATTACATATATGTATCAAACTATTTCACTTCAATTTTGTCCCTAGATCTTTGTCCAGTGCCCTACCTGCACTTTTACTGTTTCTGCCTGGAAACTTGAGAACGTCCATGGCATCCAAAAAGTGTCCCTTTAGGTCAAAAGCGGTTTTAGACCAGGTAGAAAACAGCGATAGTAAATTAGAATCACTTGCAGAATTGAGCGATAGCGATTTGTTGGAAAATTCATCCTCTTTCAGTGCCGGAGGACGTATTTCCCAACTAAATTTGGTTTTACTGTGAATAGTGAAAATAGTCACAGTATGGTTCCGTGGTGATTAGTCCAATGTGAAAAAATTATTCTGCAAATATGTGAAGTGAATATAAAGTGAAGGATAAGGTGAGTGATGTCTGTGAAATAATAAAAAGTGTGATGGCCTTTTAATAAAAATCCTAGTGAGTGATTGGTTCTAGAGTGTATCTCTTAAAATCTACTGTAGATTTTACATACTGTGACTATTTTCACTATTCACAGTAAAACCAAATAGATTCACTTACCAAGCGCAACATACCCACTTCTCTTTAAAGAATTTCCCAACGAATCGCTATTGCTCAATTCTGCAAGTGATTCTAATTTAGTTAGTACAAAACATTTTTTTAATATAAGTCTTTGAAATAAGTCTAATGCACAAACATACATTTTGCTTAAAAAATCTAATTGGAATATTGCAGAATATCATAATATGGCAGCAAGATACTATACTGTAGTATAGGCTCATACAGAAGGCAGAATGCAGTCAGTGCACCATCTCCTCATTTGCACTGATCACACTACATCCTTCACAACCAATTTATAATCCAGCAACATCCGAAAGGGCACAGGTGCTTCAAAATACAAATCTTAAAATAGAAAATTCCGGAATTAGGAAAAAGTAATACGGAATAAAAAACTGAAAGAGTGACCTTTAAAATATAAAAGAGTAGTGCAATTACTCATGTTATTAATATCAAGCAGTCAGACTGAGCAGTCCCAGAACAGACTGTTGCATACATTAGATTTTGTATTTTAGTTACACTGGAACATACAGTCATTTACACATCTAGTTTAGTTATATAGCATTTCCTAAAAAGACAGCACTCTATTTACCACATGCATTACTATATTTTGTGTTCTAAAGGAATGTCTATTATATATTAAAAGTGATTAGATCATCAAGTGTGTAGAAGAGTATAATGCAATAATATTCAGATTCATTTAAAGTATATATTTCAATAAAGCATGTATCTAGCCCCATCAGCATGAAAAGATTATTGCAAATGTGGATGATTTTGGCATGAACAATCACCTTTCTGCATGTTAATGGGCACCTCCTTTGGCTAATGAATCTCAGGAATAGTATTTAGCCATCCTAGATTTTTTTTCTGACAACTACTATTGTTTTCCCATGTGATAAGATGGAACTGGGGTACCTTCTGCTCTCCCCCCTTCCTCCTTTATAAATATGCATACTGAGTACATTATTATTTCACAATCCCAAGCCCATTAGATGACCTTAGATGTCTGTACTGGTGATTATGACACTTTGTTGACTGTTGTTATACGGAATAAAGATGAACACACTGTATAGCTTTTGCCCACTACAGTTAAGTTTCATAGTCATGTTGACATTTTAACTTTACCATTGGCACTGAAGTTATTATAGCATGTGTTCCTTTTAAAGGGTATAAAGGCTATAGAGTAAACAGCATGCATCATATGTCAGTTGAGGATTGTAAGGAACCCATCAACTGACATGGGTAACCACCAGTGGACCGTGTTAGTACTCAAGCAAACTGTTTCCTTTGGTGTACAGTTTTGCAAATCCTGATTGCCACTTTGATTAACAAGGACCTGCACTCTTATTTCTGTGGTTTTTCTATCATCTTACTTAACCTTTTGCTTGTGGCATGTCTCTGCCTGCTGCACATATTGACCTTGTGATATTACTCTGCCTGAATTCTACCTTACCTGAGCTATACCTGTTTAAGAACTACACTCGTATCTGATGATTCAGTACTTTGGTTTGGTTGCCTGTGAAGTTGTTTTCATTGGGGCAATCTCAAGGGCAGTCATGCCTGCTGCTAGTGACACAGATAGCTATAAAACCAGGAACATAAAAGGTATGTCCATGGTGAAATTGTTTTGTAACCACCAACCATGATCTAATGTATGAATTTTGGGCTAGAATAATGCAGTGTGACAACAAATAGTAATCTGGTTTACAACTAAATATACAGCACATTATTCATGTAGCTTAATTTCTAAATGGTGTTCCAGCAATACAAGGATGCATTTTTCATGCCTACCGTAATTATATTAACACAAGGAATTTCACCAATCACTAGTGGCAAATTATTTAATGACGTTCAAACACATGTATCTGAAAGGTTCACCAGCAGAAAATGTGTGGTGAGTTTGACTGCTTTATAAACATACCCTACAGTGTGTATTCTGGACAGACAGATTTAATATGTCTCTAATGACGTAATGTCAAATATTTTAAAGTAACTATACCTTTTTATGCAGAATCACAGATTCATTGGCTTAGTTTTATTGACTGAAAGTTTTTTGTAACTTACATTTTAGCAATCAATTTTCATTTGTCATCATATGTTAACTGTGCATTGAAGCAATATCTTATTTTATGCTGACATTCTCATTGAGTAGCTGCATGCACTGTGGAGCACTGCATCGTCAAATGTTACAGTTTAATTTCAACAGCTGAGCTCACACTGTTCCCCCCTTCTAGAAATGTAATTCCCTTGTTCCCATCACTAGAAAGCAAAATGTGGCAGTGTTCAGGGTTCAGTGAGGGAGTAATTCCACAGAGGTTAGTATAGGGCCATCCCACATGACACTACTGCTGGTGGTGTGTCGTCAGTGGCAGTCGTCCATCTGACATCAGCCAAAGAGAGAATGCAGCAGAGTTATCGGACCTGACTTAGATGACTTCATGGCCTCTCTTAAGAACTTTGAGGATGAAGTGTTCCACATGGCCTGCAGATACAGATGTCACTGAGGTTTTTTTTTTAAAGCTTTTCTGCTTGCCAAGAATATGTAAATAATTTTAATGGCCATAGCCTGGCTGCACTTCTACTCTAGGTTTAGATTTTTTTCAAGCGGGACTATTTACTAAAACAGCACTTCTTAACTTTAAAAAATTGTGGCCTGGGGAATTTTTACAATTAGGAATTTCTTCAATGCCATTTACTACTACTGTTGTATTGCACATGCACAGTTGATAGTCAACCAAGAGATGATGCCAGTAATCAATATTAAACCTTTTGTCTTCAACTTGAAAGTACTGTTTATATTAAGTAAATGTTTTATTTGCAGTAAGTGATGCACAGGAAACTAAGGAATAAAAATCACAAGCCAAGTGAGGTCAGGTTCTTTATTTAACCTAGTCATATGTGTCAGTTTATCTTAGAAGTACATAGATGCAAAGTGAACCAGTCAACCTATTTTAATATTTCTTGACAAAACTAAAAAAGTATGATGCTGTAGTAATTAAGGTCATGTAGGTCCTTCGCTGTCAAATTCTATAACAAATATGAGTACAAGTAGGAATATTATTCAATTATTTTTAGGATAAGTTGAATCACTTGCACATGCTTCCCAAATATACTAGAGCAAATAAAAAAAGCTGCTGTTATAGTTACAGTTATAATACAAGTTGACTTTCTACTGCTTTCCATTAAAAACATGCTAACACAACTGGATCAAACTATAGTTTTACATAAACATCTTGAAGATCAGCTTCCAGATTCAGATTCATGACTGGTGAATTGTTGCTTTAAGATAATAGAGCAGCTCACTAACAATTCTGAAAGCATATATCAATAACTGTTGAATCAAAATAGGGAGCTACTTCTTAAAATTGCAGTTGTTGTTTCTTTTTAATTACAAATTTGAGACAGGATGCACACACTACAGTAGGCACAGGTTAAATGAAGTCAACATGAGCTATCTGAGAATTATGTATTTTTTCAGCTTCTATGAAACTCCATTTTTTAAAATACTCAAGGTGTGTGAAAAATTGAGTAGAGGATCTATCTCAGTTCTCTATCACTAGTTCCCTGCAATGTCAGTCGTTTAAGATATAGTGGGTACAGGAATGGATGTGCTTCTCTGTAGTTTTTTTTGTCAGTGATGCAGTTAAGTTAAAACACACTTCATTGTATTTATTAACAAGAGGGATGAGTTTTTCAGGGACCAAAAATAAATTATTTTTCAAACTAAATTTTAAGAAGACCTCCCATGCAAATATAAGGTCTACCTTTCTGTGAGCCCCAAAACAAAAACATTAAAAGTAAAAGTTTGGCAAAAAAAGGAAAATGCACTCACTGTATATTCTCATGGGATTTCAAGTGTTTTACTATACCAGAAACTATCCTCATCACCAGCACCAGCAGTGGTGAGACATGGTGATATCTCCTGCACTTTCTGGAAGCATTAAACGCTAGGACTGAGATGAGAATTGTTTTAATGGTTTTGTGAAATCTTTATTTTTAAAGTTTTTTATCAGATAACTTTATTTGGGTGGCAATGGGCTGGCAGGAAGGCAGACCTTCTATTTTGCATTGTGGGTCCAGTACATGCTGACCAATTGGAAATTAGTGCTATACAAAAAAATGTGTTTTTGTCCTTTATCAAATTCATTTTTAAACATGAAATGTTGTTAAATATATTACATTTTTAGGTGAGCTAGCAGAGGTCTTCTTTGAACTCCTACTACTAGCAGAGGGTTCTGTTGGAATAAAGGAATTTGGGTACTTGTCAAAATTGGCTATGTAGTCCGCAGGTGCATGTGAGGAGTAATTAAAAATTAAGCCGAGTAATTGCAGAAGCCCTGCCCACCTATCACTCATTATGTGAGTCATTGTCAATTAATCACATATGAATGACTGTAGGGCACAGGGCACATGCATTCATTTTTTCTTGGTTTTTTTTTGGTTTTCACTTTTAGTATTCTATTTTTATGTTGGTTTGGAATCACTGAGAACCATACCGCTTTGCTCCACATTACCAATGTAGTTCTGCAGCAGTAGAGCACTGATGTACAATTGACTATAGTATGTATGTGAGACCATAGAGATCCATTCACAGAGGTGAAATATTTGCCCCATATTTTCACACATATTTACAAAAAGCACAGCTAAGCATTTGTTGCTGTTTGAGGTGACATTTATATGCTACTGTAAGTTTTATCAGTCTTAGAGTAAACCAATAGAACCTTTTGAAATGTGTAATGATATATGATGTTTTCTCTTGCAGGCTGCAGAATGGCTGTGCTTAAACTGTCAGACACAAAGAGCACTCTCAGGACAACTTGGGGATATGGGAAAAGTGCCTCCTCTTTTAGCACTGTCTCCAAAATCTTCACCAAAGCACTCTGTTCCTCCTGAGCAAGCACACAAGCCTCTACCATCAAATCTGAAAACACAGGATAAAGCAACTGATCAAGTCATAAAAAAAGAAAGTCCAAAAACTTCAGATGACAAAGTTAGTAAAGGACAAATGGAGAAATCTGGCCAACTAGTAAGCAGAGATATGAAGGCTATGGTTAGCCCACCTGTATCAAGAGATATGAAGGCTATGGTTAGCCCACCTGTATTAAGCAAGGAAACAGAAGCTCAAGTGGTTTCTAAAGCTGCAGAGGTGCTACCCCTTAAAGACAGTAGACAAGATGCTGCCCAAGACATTCCATTAGTGCCTAAAGAGCAGACAGAAGAGCATCTGAAGCATAAAGAAAAAAACATTCCTAAGCACGATTTAATGATTGACCTTTCAGCAACAACTTTGGAGAAACTGGATGACAGAGAAGCATTAAATCAGAAAACAAAACCTGAAACAAGCAAACTCACAGAGCAGGAAACAGAAAAAGAAAAAACTGTAAGTATTAATTAAGCTAAATAAATATTCTAATAGGTTAATGTTATTAACCATGTGGCTTTACATGTGCAAGGATTTTAAAGTGGAGGTAATGAGGGAGTACATAGGTACTTAGTACACTGTGTGTTGTTATCTTTATGATTTATAATATTATTTTAAATGATAAATCTGCCTCAGACCTGTGCAAATAAGACAGGGTTGGGGGCCTGTTGTGGTTAATACACGTGATTTGGGTGGCTGTACAGCTGCCCAGATCACTTGTAGTTGTAGCAGCTGGCCCTGCCTGACGTCATTGGTTGCTAGGACACCAGCAGTCCTTTGCAGCCAATGGCTGAAACAGAGGGGGGGGCTTACACTGGGTTATGGCTGGCACTGGGAATATCGGCTCAAAGCGGGTCGTTGATCGCGGTCCAGACAGAACCGTCGCACCAGACATGTGGCTGATAACCTACTTGGTTGGAGAAATGTCAATGTTGGACCCCAAGCCATGCTAATAACGGTTGCTATGCTGCTCATCACTAAGTTCTTCAAACCAGTTTCATGAGAATACTCTTCTCAAAGCACCAGCTTTGCATTGAAATACTTTTCTCTACCAGTTTAGGCTCCATGTTGCAGTGCAAGAAACAGCAAAGTTTATTTTCAACATACATGATTCATACCTGGAGGAGTTAAGGTGCCACCTCTGCCCCTATTAATTGAAAGAGAGGACCTTGGGATTGTTTACTTCCCAAAAATATATTTATTTTTTTAAGATAAGAGTAAAAATAATCCAAACAAGTCTTCTAACTATTCTTTTCTATTCTACCCCACTCCAAATCTGTTTTGTAAAAAAAAAGTCAAAGTATAACATTTGGTGAGTAAAACTCCTTCACAGGTGTATCAGCAAGCTTCCTTTTCTAGAAAGGAATCTTATTGAGATTAATTGTAGTAACTGGATCATTGATCTCCAGTATTTAGGTCCCTCATTTTCATCTAACTTTTAAAACAGCATTGCTTCCTGGAAATTGGAAGCTGTGGATATCATAGGATCCAGTGGTTCAGTTACTTCTATAACTATCATTGAAATTCAGTTATTTTGGAAATGAAACCCTCTTAAAGCACTCACCAGAGCATCAAGTCTGATGCATGAAATGTACTGCTCGGGCCATAGGGATACCAGTCTGTATTAATAGATATATGGGATACTGGTATTGTCTGAGTTTAATTTATTGTTATTGTATTAAATTAACAAAATCTTGAAAATAAGAAAAGTAAATGGCCAACTGCAAAAATTCAATTGGATTGGCAGCTGCAAACACAGGTCTAGGGATGAGGTCAGATGAATCATGGAAGAGTAAACTTCAAAGTTTAAGCATATTTAGTAATGTAGGTGCTCTACCCTTCCACCCCCTTGTTTGCTGAGATGTCACTGAGGTATTTTTTTCTAACTATTTAGAAGATAATGTAGTAGCAATTATTTAAGCACTTTTATGTTGACACAAATTGGCTGCATTATCAGTCCTGTGTTCTGATTACCACCCATTCTGACTGGAATTTGGCATTGCCTTTTTGTTTATTAATTTGGGGTTGCCTTTTTGTTTATTAATCCCCAAAACAGACTAGTGATTGGAGATGATGTGGTTGATTTACTGCAAGAGTAGAGTGTGTTCACTTTGCATAGTGAACATGTTCTTCTTTAGTAAATTTGCCACAATCTGTAGGATTTAGTGGGAATGTTGTTCCTAGATTGTTCAAGTAAAAGCAATAGACACCACCACGGTGTGGTAAATGCTACTGTTTACCACATCTATAACTTTACATAACATTATGGAGGTCCCATGTTAAAATAAAGGTGTGTTCATGTTTTAGCCTAGGTCCACCTCTGCAGTTTGAATAAAAGCCATGTGTGGACCATTTTGTTTTCACAATCAGGCCTTTAGTTTTAAACAATATTTTACACTTAAGAAATGTAACCATATAAATGCTGGCTGTAGAACTATACCTATACTGCCATCATTGTTGGTTTAAAATGTCTAAGTGGTTTTATTGCTGTAGTAAATCCTGCACAGGTTTTTATTCCAAGTATCTTTTGTTACATCTATGAAACCAAAGCCTGCATTTCATCTTTCTGAATGTTTTAAATCATATGCTGATCTACACACAAACATATTTGTTGTCATAAATAGTATCTGTCTTCCATTGTGCTCTGTTAACATTTTACTGTTGTTTATGCATCTGTGATGAATAGACTTCTACATTTTAATATAGTATGTTTTATATACATAGTAGAACATTTTATCCTTTTTTTGTGATATATTTTGAAGAATGTGAAAATGTTAATGGATCTTATAGGTAAGCATTGATGTCATACCAAAAAACAGCATGCATACATTTGTGTGACATGTTGTATGTAGGAAATTGATGCAGCACTGAATCATTATTCTAACGTTTTTTAAGTCTTGTCTGCTGACTGGAGGTGGCATCTATTTCTGTGCCCCTCCTACTCTCCTGCTTTGCTAGTAATCTGCAAAAATGTTGTTTTATTGCAGCAGAGAAAATGAACATATACAATACATGTGGCATCTTTTCCTAACAGAATAAAAATTAGATGTAAACAAAACAAGTAAACTTTAGCCAAGAGGAACATTTTTACTTTGTGCTTTATGCCTTTTTCATCTACTATATTTTTCTATTCTAGCCTAGTGATAATGGCCATTTAGTAAGCAAATGCGATGGTTAATGTAAAACATATTGCTAATCTAGTGGTAGCCCACCATAAAGTGTACTGTAACTGCATTTCATATTGTAGGAAATATAATAGTATGCTTCTGGGCAAAAATAAAATATATTTAAAGCAAATTATATTCTCTCCTTTCCTTACTGGAAAACATAACTGTCTAGTCAATATAAGTACAATTTAAAGTCGTGAAAAAATTAGTTCACAATCCCAAACAGCAAAGGTAAAATTATATATTCAGTCAGTGCCTTTTGGGAGTAATACAATCACAATGTATGGTGATCCAGCAGAAATTACCCTGAGAGTTCCCTGAGAGGAAATGTTAACAGACTTTTTTATTGATGTATTTTTTGTATAACATACACACAAACAGACCAATAACTTTTTAATTAAACATAAGACTTAGGACTATGCAAATAGTCCTAAGTCTTATGTTTAATGCAAAATGTATTGGTTATAGTCTGTATGTGTGTATGTTATAAAAAAAAATTACATAAACAGACTTATTTTAAAAATGTCCTTCCCTCTGGCAAATACCATAGTTACGAACACATGAAGCCTATTTTATTCAACCAATTAGTTCTGTACAGTCGTATAGCAAGGGATATAGTAACTATGCTGCTGCTCATTACCTGGTGCTTTGGGGATCCTCACATATGTTAAAAGGCCAAATAGTGCAGTCTCTACAATACATCTCAAAACATGCAGACACCTACTTGTTTCTAATTTAGCCATTTTCTGGATCTCTAAATCATTTTAAACTATTCATATGTTTTCCTTATCAGCAAAACTAAACTTTTGAGTGCAGCAAAAAGAAAAAAGTTTTGAAAAGCTGATTCAGGATGCAATTACTTGCTGAAAATCTCGGCTTATACTCGAGTATATACGGTAGGTATCCTGAATTCAGTGATTTTAAAACAAGCATGCCTTTTCCACAAAGCAACTCCTTTTGATAAAATCATAAATCAGATCTTACATTAACTATAATGTGCTAAAAACAATGTATGACAACCTTGAATGTAAATACTTGATGATGAAGGGAAAATAGATTGGTATAGTTCATGGCAGTACAACTTCAATCTCGCTGTCCACAACATTTGGAGATACCAAACCATTTGTATAAAATGGATTTGTACATAAGTAAATATTAAAGTTTGATTAGCATTAAATTTCCCAACCAAAAAAGTTAGGCTACCTAAAGCTGAATTATGATTAGATAATCCAAAACGTTTCCCTGTGTGAATATTAGGACTTTTAGCACTGGGAATAACATTTCTAAGCTGGGAAAGAGGGACACATTTTAGCACAAAGTATATATGCAAAAGACACAACTGTGCCCTCCCTCCCAGTTATGTAGACAATAAATAATGCACAAAAAATGATTGATTAAACCATCAGGTGCTTTTTTGCAACTACATTTCCTTTATATTGCCTTATAATGAAGGTAATAATTCATAGGTTGGAGGGAAGGTTTAGTAGAGTGTGAAGAATTTACAGAAATCAGACTAAAAAAGGGACACCTAAGGAGGAAAGAGGGAAATAGGGATTTACTCAATAACAGTTCCAAAAATAAGGGACAGAGTGTAGGTTTGGATTAGAGGATACTATAGCAATTACACTTTAGAACTAATCATTATCTATCTGCTTGGAATTCACAGTACAGTTGAATATATTAATTCAGATCCTAGATGATCAAGTGGAGTAATTTGAGCCTTTTGTATTCTAAAGGAAGCAAAGCTAACGTGATCTGGTTTCGGGAGTTGTATAATCAATAAGTGTTAATTCTTATCAGAGCTGAACAGTATTTTATATACATAATTTCCTCTGACTGGCAGTGCCATAGGGGAACATGGAGCCGGCATCCTGGGCAATCAGGAAGCCGGGTGACGAGTATTGACCTGCCTCCCGGCTCTCTGATTGGCGCGGGAAGACGGCTGCATGTTGATTATCTGGGAAGCCGGCTTCATGGCCAATCAGCATCAAGCTGACCAAACAGCCGGCTCCTTGCTGATTGGCTGGGAATCTGGCCTTCCATCCAATCAGCATGGAACTGTCTTCCTGGCCAATCAGAGAGGTGGGTCATTACTCACCACCCGACTTCCTGATTGGCCGGGAAGCCGGGTCCATGCTGATTGGTTTGGAAGCCAGTTTCCTGGCCAATCACACTCGACCTGGCCAAACAACATGGAGCCGGCTTCCTGGGCAATCAGGAAGCTGGGCAGCATGCCATTACATGCCGCCCGCCTTCCTAATTGAATGGGAAGTCGGCTCTATGCCAGCGGAAGCATCTGTATCGGTACTCAGTATCGGCGGGTACCGAAAGCAAAATATTAGTATTCGTATTTGATACTGAAAAAACGGTATCGGTGCATCCTTAATAATAACTGTCCCGCTGCTGGTCTAATTTTTGCTATTTTGTGGAGCAATTCCTGAGAAAGATTCTTGAGCAAGTGACACTACTGTGCACTGCCATTGCATATCTCAACCACTATGTCCCTAGTGTGTCCCTGCAGCTGTTCTACTGATATAATGGCCAGCAGGAGGAACCACAGTATGCAGCAGGGAGACCCAGGCAAATGACACACCCAAAGGGGACAAAAATCTTTAGTGAGTGTAGCGCTGCAAGAGAGTGAAGTTGGGTTACCAGTTCTGGGACTGGTAACTATTATCATCTTCATTTACAGGCTGGCTTTTGTTTTTAGCATCAGAGTCACTTTAAAGTTATGTTGATCCATATGTTCCAATATTGTGTTTAGTGGTTTTGTTGTTTTCTGCTGAAAAAAGAAAAAAATTTAACTTGACTGTCACAGAAATAATTTGTTTCAGCTCATGTGCCACATACTAGCTTTAGGGACTATGAAGCTAAATCTATTTATTTGTCACTGTCCTGGGACTATTATGGGCTTCATAAGTCAGGAAATAGCTGTTTCAATTAGTGCTTAAAAAGAGAATTGTTTTGCTATAAAACATAGGTCTTTGTTTAAATCAAGACAACAGTTTTTCAAAGAATATCAAAGTCTTCATTTCCATTGGCAGATATGATTTACCAATTACATCATATCTAAACAAGGATAAGCAAATTGAAATGATAGTATAGAATTGTTAAGGTGTAGCCTGGTTTGTTCAAATCCTCAGTTTATATTTAACTTAATTATATTATTTTAGGTAATCATTTTATTATATTTATCATACGGCAACAGTTTCTAGCTTTTGGACTGATGAAGAGGGTCATTTTTAAAACTGTTGCCATGTCTGTTTAATTAAACAGATGCTAAAGAGTTGAACAACATTCACAGTGGTACCGCATTTAACGTGTAAAATTGTTCTATTTTGATCTTGTCCTCACTGTTAAGCATTAGCAGACTGATGCTGCTTACCAATATATATATAGATAGATACATATCTATCTATCTATCTATCTATCTATCTATCTATCTATCTATCTATCTATCTGTCTATCTGTCTATCGATAGATAGATTGATAGATAGATAGATAGATAGATAGATAGATAGATAGATATTGCAATAAAGCTTGCTGACTGGGATTAGTCCAATCAAAAAGGCACAGTGTCTGGGATTCCGAGTTTGGGGGTCCACTCCACAATCTACTTTTCAGGCAGTGAACTGGTGAGCAGTCACTGTATGAGTTCCCATGAGTGATTTGTAAACCTGGCTCTGAGCACACTGGCTGGATCTGCAGAGAGTTTTGACCCTCACAACCCTAAACGCTGACATATAATAGACAACTGTTTAATAAGACTGTGTGATATACAGTACGTGTCCCCACATGGACTCTCTTTGTATACACAAACAGTAGACAGTTTCGTCAGATCCACCCTCTCAAGTAGAGTCACGTGAAAACATAAACTGAAAAATGTATATTTCTTGATGCACTTTCTGAGTATACAGGTTAATTATTATGAATTTATTTATTTCAAGAGAAAGGCAACGTGTTTTGTACCTACAAAATTGCTATGTTAATATATAGGTTAACTCCAGTAAAAACATTTTTGGGAATACAGCAAAATAATAATAAATTACTGCTAGTGAAGATTATGCTAGATTTGGATAGCTGCTCTTTACTGTAAAACTCCAAACTGCTTTGACAGTGACGTTTCCTGTGCCATAGGGATGTGAGACAGCTGCAGTGACTGTGAAGGGCTCCTGTCGTGCACCCTCTCCTGTCTCTCCTCTAGTCCATTCACAAAAAGGCTTGTATTCTTTCCACAGAAAACAATTCATTTTGTAAATGGACAAGGAGAGACGAGGGGTGGATAATTGACAGGATCTCAATCGACCATTTTCTTTTCACACAATGCCTTGTATAGACAAGGGAAGACGACGTGGAGGACAAATGGTGGAAGCCTTTTACTGTCACAGCTGCTACCTCCCATCCCCACAGCCCCAGAAGATCACTGCTGTAGGGAGTATTCGGCATCAAAATAGGTAAGAGTTTTAGAATAAAGATCAGCCAGTCAGACCTAGGACAATCTTTATTAGCATTAACTTATTTCACTTGTGTTGCATCCCCAAAACCATTTTTTCTGGTGTTCAGCTTTAAATTATATGATATAACCCAATTACATAACTGAATGAAAATCAGGAGTGCCATTAAATTAACATTAAACTCAGGCGTAAAGAGGAATGTAAGGACAGTTTCAGCACCAATTCAGAGATGATTTGAGGATCTACAGCTGAGTGATATACAAATAAAGTAAATTTTCTGTTAATAGTTAGGGTACTTGAATGCATTTTTTAAGATCTAACTCCTGAGTTTAGTGTCACTTTGATCATTATCTGCTTGGTATACCAATTGCACTGCCTATGCACCATATTATGTATTAGTGGTAGTTTTCTAATGCACCAATATTTTTCTTATTTATTATAAATATAAAAATTATAAATATACCTGGCAATAGTTTACTTGTGTACACAAGTACTTTATCATGATCTTGCCTTCTTCCCTGGGAAAATAGTTTTTCTATTATGAGGTCCCTTAAATCTTCCTGTCCCAACTGGAGAGATTTGCCATTGCTTCCTGTCTGTATAACCCCCTGTTGCCAGGATGGTAAGGAAGGGAAAATTCTAAATTAGGGCACAGAGAGCAATAACAAAACAAAAGCCTTTCTCACAATATCCAAAACTAAAGAAGGTTTTGGCTGTAATTGGGCTTTAAAATGAATACTTGACCTTTTTCATCCCCTCTCCTGCTTACCTTTTTGCAGGGAGGAGGCACAATCGCTGGTGATTGATTGGTAAGGTCTGCTGCAGACCTTACTAATCAATCCGAGTGCGCCACCGAAATAGCTATGCAGTCTGCATCTGACAGAGATGCAGACCGTGTAGCTGCTCCCACATGTCTGGTCCATGACCGTGTGCCCAACTTGTCAGCTGGCTGCGGGCCATATAGTACCGGCTCCCGGGCCGCAATTGGCCCGCTGGCCGGTACTTTGAGACCACTGCTTTAGTCTGACAATCTTCATTATATACAATATTCTTTTCCTAATGATAATTAAAATAATGACAGGGTCGCTGTTTTTTTTTGTAGACTGTACATACAATTGCCCCCCTTTTGTTATCATTTCTACTTTAAACAGTAGCAAAGATATTTTCAATTGCAATTGTTTGTGCTTAGCATGTTAAGCAATTGTTTGTACTGATTACATTTTTACATTTCTTGAAACCAATTATCTGTAGAGAATGATTTTCCAACAAACTGGAAAATCATTTTGATGGATATGTCTCATTTTATCTGTCATCATTAATTGTTTTATACCTAGCATTATGCAATGTTATTTTGTATTCATTTCCTATTCTGTGTAAATTCAAAGAATATTCAACAAATCTTCATTGATTCATACCAAAGTCAACCTATCTGTGACCAACCTTATCCCCTCTATCCCATTACTGAAGTGTCTTAAGTTGAGCATTTTCACATCCACTTCTTCCTGCCATCTCAGCCTGTCCTGTGTGTTAGATTATACTGTAGCTGTGACGGTTAAGGGAAATAGTCTGACATAAACTGAGAACTGGTGGCTACAGTGCAAAATGCTGTACTCCTATACACTAGGTACTATAAACATTTCTCACAGCAACAGGAGCACAGAGCTTGTCATTATTTCCCTTTTGTACCCCTTCCACCAAAAACATTTTGTGGGGTTCTTCATTAAATTATATATAGTAAATGTGGTGAAAATTCTCTTTGCAAAGATTGTCCAATCACGTGCAAGGAAAAATAACAGTATCTTTGTGTGCACATGATTAGATGCTGAAAGTCAGCAGAGCTTCGCCTCATTCACTAAGTTCTTCTTACATCATTTAGTCACGTGCAAACAAATATATTGGTGTTTTTTCTTTTCCTTGCATGCGATTGGTTATTCTTTGTAAAGTAATTTTTCACCACATTCACTAAGTTAAGTGGACCCCATTGTGTCAACAGATAGCAAGATTAATTACAAAGTTTATGCATTTAATACACTCTATTTCTTGGTTCATGGAAACGTTCAATTTTCTGTTTGTTTTTTTAGGAAAAGGAAGATGATAAATCAGACACCTCAAATTCGCAACAACAGAAAAGCCCACAAGGTCTAAGTGATACAGGATATTCATCAGATGGCATATCTGGTTCACTTGGAGAAATACCAAGTCTAATTCCAAGTGATGACAAAGATTTCAATAAAGAACATGTCAAAAAGGAGACCTTTTCCCATGAGCTTAGCCCTTCAAGTCCATCAGATTTAGCCAAGCTAGAGAGCACAGTTTTATCAATTTTAGAAGCTCAAACATGTGTTCTTACTGAAGAGGAAAAGAAAAAAGGCGTTGATTTATATGGAAAATATATCGGGCAGACCCATGACAGACCTAAGACTAAGATATTACCAATAACTCCAGAATCCTACAGCTCAGAAGATGAAGAAGAGATTCGGAAAGAAGAGGAGGTGACATTAAAAGACATTAAAAGAAATCTGGCTTCAAGGAAGGTCCAAAAGGATAATGTAAGTTCAGGAAAAGATGTTACTACCCATAGACGACATGATTCCCTGGATGACAGCAGTGAAAGTGAAAATTCACCTGTTCCACAAAGGAAAAGAAGGACTAGCAATGGATCATCAAGCAGTGATGATTTCAAACATGATGACAGTCAAGGATCTGGAGATGATGAAGACTTTATTCGTAAGCAAATCATTGAAATGAGTGCTGATGAGGATGCATCTGGCTCTGAGGATGATGAGTTCATAAGAACTAAATTAAAAGAAATAAGTGTTAATGAAAGTCAGAAAAAAGAAAATAAAGCAAAAGCAGTAACTGCAAAATCCAAACGATTAACAAAGAAAAGCAGTACAAGTTATGATGAAGATGGAGTAAGACGTCATTCATGGCACGATGATGATGAAGAGGATGAAGATGAGGAAACATATGATGAGAGTCCAGAGTCAAAATTTAGAGAAACTAAGAGCCAAGAAAGTGAAGAGCTTTCAGTTAGTGGAGGTGGAGGCCTTCGCAGGTTTAAAACTATTGAACTAAATAGCACAATTTCTAATACTTACCATGAAAACTCTGGTAAACAGTCAACTGTACTGTATTATGATGAGGAACCAGAACTGGAAATGGAAAGTTTAACAGATTCTCCAGAGGATAGGTCACGTGAAGAAAGATCTTCAAGTCTCCATGCTTCAAGTTTCACCCCAGGTACATCACCTACATCAGTGTCATCACTTGATGAAGATAGTGATAGTAGTCCAAGTCATAAGAAAATGTCAGGAGAAAGCAAACAGCACAGAAAAGCTAGACACCGATCTCATGGGCCTGTTCTTCCAACTATTGAAGATTCTTCAGAAGAGGATGAGCTAAGAGAAGAGGAAGAACTTTTAAAAGAGCAAGAAAAGCAAAGGGAAATAGAACAACAACAAAGGAAGAGCTCTAGTAAAAAATCCAAAAAAGATAAAGATGAACTACGGGCTCAGCGTAGACGGGAGAGACCAAAGACACCTCCAAGTAACCTTTCCCCTATTGAGGATGCTTCTCCAACTGAAGAATTACGTCAAGCAGCTGAGATGGAGGAACTCCATAGATCATCCTGTTCTGAGTATTCCCCTAGTATTGAATCAGAGCCAGAAGGTTTTGAAATAAGTCCAGAAAAGATAATAGAAGTGCAAAAGGTATACAAGTTGCCTACTTCAGTATCATTATATTCTCCTACAGATGTAACTAATGTTGCTATATCAGAAAGCAAAAATGGTCAGCAAGCTCTAAAAAGTGCTGAAGAAGCATATGAAGACATTTTGTATAAGGCTAAACTGTACCGGAATGAGAAAGAAACAGAGGACGTTTTTGAGAAAGAACCTTTATATGGGGGCATGTTGATTGAAGATTATATCTATGAATCATTAGTTGAAGAGAATTACGATCAAAACTTAGATTCCAATATACTATGCGCTCAGGATCAGGAATATAGAGTAAAAGAGCTGAAACATAGTTCAGCAGGAGACATTTGCAGAGATGTTGTTCAAACTATTGCAAATGTACAAGATGAATGTTTTACAGCAGAATCATTTCATGCTATTGTGCCTCAAGAAGATATAGTTTCAAGTTCCTACATTGTTCCAGAAAGCCATGAGATTATTAATTTGGATAATACTGATGAAAGACCACCCAGTGATGCCATTTCAGGTTTATATGACCTTATAAACTGCCAAAATGTACAGCTTACACCAGGATCCAGTCCAACACAGACTAGAAATGACTTTAGTGTTAAAGCTGATGTAGTATCTTCTGTTACCGTTGAAATAGATAAACCAAAAACTATTTCTTCTGCTTCCATGGAATCTTCATCCTTCAATACAATCCCTATTCCAGATGTTAAAATAACACAGCACTTTACATCAGAACTTGAAGATTATGTAGCCATTGAATATGCTACAGAAAAAGCTTCTGAAAATGTTAGTTCAGAAAGTACTGAAATATTTGTGAATGACCAGCTTGATTTCAGTGAAAGTGTGTCATCTAATGCCGACCTTCAAACTAAGTCAAAACCTGACTCAGTTGTATCAGAAATGGACTCTTCACTTATTCAGACGGAAATACAATCTCAAGACATTGAAAAATCCATTGCAGATCATATTATTATTTCAGTACCTGATATTTCCTTGGATGAAGTACAGAGTGGATCTGAAATTGTAAAAACAGATTTGGACAAATGTGAAGCAAAAAGCAAAGTGTATGCAAAGGATAATGCAGTTAATGACGACACAACTTCTGCAAGAAAAGATATTCAAATAAATACTGAATGCACAGTGTCAACAAAGCACACAGTGACGTCCACAGCAGTTACAGATACAATAACCACAGCACCCAAAATACCATCAGTAATATCAACAGTTCCCTCTGTGACATCAAAAGTAATATCTTTTTTTAGAAGCATCCCTACTGACTCTCCTGTTCCCTTGACATCTTCTACTCCTTCTCCACCTCCTCCTCCACCACCACCATTACCTCCAGCTACTCAGCCTAAGCCATCAGTGTATTCAAAAAAGAGGCCTGCACCTAAAATTCCATCTACAGCAGCAACAACAAAATCTTCTACAATTGTATCCAATGTAGGAAGTGCTCAGGTAGCCTCATCCTTTAAAATCACTTCCCCTTCTCCAGCTAAATCTCATGCTGTACCCCCTCCGGTTCCTCCAAAGCCATCTTCAATTCCAGCTGGGTTAGTTTTCAGTCATAGACCAGTGGAAACATCTACACATCAAAAGGTACCAAAACCTGTGTTTTCTGAACCCCAAGTTCCTATGCAAAAGAAAGCAGAAGCACAACAAAAAACACCAGCACATTCTTCTGCCACGCCTTTAACTTTAAACTTGGCTGCAACCACAGATTATGTGTTACCATCTCCTACATCTCCTCTTTCCCCTCATTCTAATAAATCCTCACCCAGACTAACCAAACCCTCACAAGAAACATATGTTGTTATAACATTGCCATCTGAACCTGGTACCCCGACTGACAGTGATATCACTCAAACAACAACATGTTGGCCTCTGCAAACATCGGTAAATAAAAAAATTCCACAAACTACAGAAACTGTGTTCTCTACTGCTCCTTTTACTAGAAGTAAGAACGTACCAGTATCTCAACAATCAGATGTGCTTCATAGCTCTCCTAAAATAATAACACATGAAATAAGCAAATCCGTTGTCTTATTACCTCAATACACAATCTCTGAATTCCCTAGGATTCCAGAAACTATTCATACTGAAAAGAAAATGATAGAGCAGATAGAACAGTTACCTCATACTGCAAAAGTTAATGAATCTAGTGATGTAATAGATTTAAGTACTTTAACCAAGGTAGATTACAAAAGCACAGATAATGAGACTGATAGATGTATGGATCTATCTTCTGCAACACTAGATGGAAAGCGTCAATCTACAGCCCATGGTGCACTCAGTCGGTCAACAAGTGCTGTCCAGCCTGCTATAGTAAACCTTAGCACTGCATCACCTGTTATTTCTTCTGTTTTACTGGTTACCGAATCTGTTACTCTCATGACATGTACAACAACTGTAAGTTACACATCAAGTTTAGATAGCCTTGTTGATTTAGGGAATTCAATGAAAGAACCTTTACAACTGACAACTGCTAGACAGTTTGAAGAGGAATATGCAAGATTTCCTGTGGAAACAGAAGTGCCAATTAACTTATCCATGGGGGTTCCAGCACATTCAGTGACAAAACCAGTCTCCGTTTCTTCAGGTAGTGTAACAGATGACTGTATTGATATATCCACATCTCAAGAATCAGTAGACAGTGGTGTAGTTGATCTTAGTACAACAAAATCCCTTAGGACAATAGTAACTATGGATGACACAACATCGGCAATTGTAACTGAAATAGTTGAGGATGATGATAAACCTGTGGACTTAACTGCAGGCAGAAAAGCAGTCTGTTGTGATGTTGTATATAACTTACCTTTTGGAAGAAGTTGCATTTCTCAACAACCATCCACAACTTTACCTGAAGACCGATTTGGCTACAGAGATGACCATTATCAATATGATCGTTCTGGGGTTTCAGGATTTAGGGGGGTTGGGAGTATGAAACCCTCGATGTCTGACACAAATTTAGCTGAAGCTGGACTATTTTTGTACAAAAGCAAAAATACTTTTGCTTATCCTGTTGGAATAGGTGATGTTGCTGTAGACCTTACATCTGGGAAAGTGACTTCAGGTCAGTATGATGTGCCAGCAAATCTTTCCTTAAAATGTGATTATGGTGTTCCCCATCTCATGTCCGGATAACAATTTTTTATTTTTGTCATTTTTTTTATTTTTGCAACATTGTGGCAAAGTATTTTTGAGTACTGGTGTATTTTATTTTCCATTTTATGTATATGTTTTGCTCAAAGACTCATGCATGTGCCTGCATGTTCCAAATATGATTTTGCTTCTTGTCCAAGTAAATCATTATCCTTGGAGATTTGCATGCAATTTTATCCATTTATTTCATCAAGACTGGGTGGCTATCCGAACTAGACATGAATGTTTTTAGGAAATGGACTGTAATCTATACCCTATAATTTCAGGTGAGGCTTTGGATTACCAAACCAAGACATCAGGGGCATATCCAGAGACAAGACAAGTAATTTCTGGACTTGGAATAAGTGCACCCCAGTATTCACAAGCACGGATGACTCCTTCTATAGTTCCACCATATGGTATGGGAAGTGTCTTAAGGTCTTCTAATGGAGTTGTCTATTCATCAGTAGCCAGTCCAGTGCCCTCAACATTTGCCATTACCACACAACCAGGATCTATTTTTAGTACAACAGTGAACGACTTATCCAGCTTCATTACTAGTGATGCAATAACTTCATGTTTGAGCCAGACTCAGCCACTGCCCAGGACGTACAGTATTTATACTTCAGCAACAGGAGATGTGACTGATGTAATGTCAGTGGTTGAAACTAGTTTACAAACATTTCCTGTTGAGGTTGCTGCAAGCACACATGCTGATCTTGTTTCACTTTTGACATCAGAGTCTGACACTTACTCTGAAATGACTGAGGATGAGGCGTCCTTCATCATGTCATCTGAGGATGGCAAACAACAGAACCTTAATTTGCAGCGTGAATTCCTAGAGCTGGAAAAACTAAAACAGCAGAGACTAGCTGAGGAATTGGAATGGGAACGTCAGGAAATTCAGAGATTCAGAGAACAAGAAACGTTAATGGTTCAGCAAAAACTCGAGGAACTGCAATCCATGAAGCAACACCTGTTGTATCAACAGGAGGAGGAAAGGCAGGCTCAGTTTATGATGAGACAGGAGACCTTTGCTCAGCAACAACTGCATCTTGAACAGATTCAGCAACTTCAGCAGCAACTTCACCAGCAGTTAGAGGAGCAAAAGTTGCGCCAATTGTACCAGTTCAATTATGACCCTGACAGTGCTCCTCCTCAAACAACTTCTGAACAAGTGATTTTAGAAGGCCAGTATACAGCACGAGAGGATGGACAGTTCTGGACTGATCATATAGCAACTACATCAACAGCAGTTGCAGGCATTGAGGTTGCTCCAAGTGAAGCATGGTATACTGTACAATCAGATGGCATTACACAGTATATTCAAAGGCCAGGCATATTTAGCTCTGTTTCAGAAATGTCTTTAAAAGATGTGGAGGTTAACGAGGAAAGGCAGCTGAAGAAGAGAAGTTCAATGCCAAGATTAAGTGGTATGTATGATGAATTAGATGGTGCTATACAGGAAGAACCCAGATCTTACAAACTGATAGTAGATAGTGGAGTACAAACTGATGATGAGGATGGAGCTGAAAACAGATATACAGGAAGAAGAAGAAGGTCCAAAAAGGGAGTTGATACCAGTGTGCAAACTGATGACGAGGATCAAGATGATTGGGAAATACCTGCAAGACAAAGAAGAAAATCACGTGCTGGAAAATATCCTGATGGAACAATTGATGGTGATAAATCTAGACCATTTTCCAAAGTATCTAGCATTGCTATACAAACAGTTTCTGAGACTTCAGTTCAAACAGAGCCACTAGGGACAATAAGAACGCCTTCTATAAGAGCAAAGGTTGATTCAAAAGTTGAAATAGTTAAGCATATTTCTGCTCCAGAAAAGAGTTACAAAGGAGATAGCTTGGGTTGTCAAACTGAAACAGATTCAGATGGACAAAGTCTCCAGTATATGACTGATGTATCACAAAGAGATAAACGACGTCCTACTCCTTTAGAAATAGGCTACTCCTCACATCTTAGGGCTGATTCTTCTCTTCAGGTTGCACCTTCCCCTCCAAAATCTCCCAAAGTTCTTTATTCACCAATTTCACCTGTTTCACCTAGCAAGGCTCTGGAATCTGCCTTTGTTCCATATTCAAAGACAATGTCTGATGACATGGACACTCACAAACCACATAGTGATAATGTACAGATTCCACCACCAAGTCCAAAAAGTGCAAAGATTATGCAACGCTCCTTATCAGATCCTAAGCCTTTAAGCCCAACTGCAGAAGACATTGCTAGAACACAGTTCCAGTATTCAGATGGATATACAGTAAGAATGTGTTTCTCTTCTTAAATATAGTTTAGAAGAATACATTATTTTCCATGCTAATAGCTGTATTTGATTGAAGCAGTCACTTCACTTAACTCCATTACAAAGACTAGAGGCCACCACCTAAAATTGGTGGAAAAAAAATTCCAGCACAAGGGGCGAAGGGGGTTCTTCACAGTAAGATCAGTTAGGGTCTGGAACTCACTGCCACAGGTGGTGATTTCAGCAAATAATGTGGAATTGTTCAAGAAACTTTTGGACGATTTCTTAAGGGACCGTAATATACAGGGGTACAGGTACTCCTAGAATGAGATCCTAATAGGTTGGACTTGATGGACTAATGTCTTTATTCAACCTCAAATACTATGTAACTATGGTCAGCTCAGCTGTACAGAAGGAATCACCCAACATTTATTGCAATTGCTGTTCAAGTTTAAATATACCTTTATAAAGTATCAAAATTACAGATAAGTACACTTCAATGCATTATGCATAATTTACTAAACTGTAATGCATTGGTTTAGCTGCCATAGCGGTTAATATTAATCCATGGTACTGTTTATTTAAACTACCATTGGCTGTTATTGATGAAAATAACAGTCACTACGGCAAATAAGGATCTTTATAGCTTAGTGAATTCAGTTATTTTGAGGTCCTCATCATTTTGTTCTCAAACTTTGTAATAAATGAAATTATGTATATTTGTTCAAAACAACTTTCTGTCATCAATAGCATCCCTTACACTTAATCAGCGTGCTTTGGTTCTTGATATATAAGGTTCTTAAAATCTGTTACCTCAGTAACCCTGGTAACAGTACCTGTGGCATGTAGTGCACCCACTTTGGTAGACTCTCTGTAGTCCCCCCGCATAGAATTTAAATAAAGATATATAAGATTTTTATATCATGCCAAATAAACCTCTTAGAAGTGTTATGTGACTAAAAGGTCTATTTTAAAAGCAGTAGGATAGTCATACTGGGGTCTTACCACTGCTTTAAATAAAAAATAAAATAACACACAGTACATTTATAAAGTACAGTGGCAATATGCAGAGAGAACTCCAAGGGGAACCATATTTTGTAAATGGGTCATACAATGTGAGCTACAGGGTGCATAACCTCGTGGAGTGTAACAGAGTGTGAAAAGCGATATGATTTATTTATTGTAATTGAGCTCCCAAATCACTTTACCACCTTTGCAGCGATCCTTGCTCCTAGGCTGCAACTTTTAAATTAAAAAGTAGCCCAAACAGGGTCATATGACATGATGATTTTATGACACTTTCAGACTTTATTATTTAAGTACTTCAGACTGTAATATTTAAAGTGACATTAAACCCTCAGATTTTTTAACATAAAACAATACTGTAATGTGTGCCTTACTGTAATCCATGGTAGTTTCCCTTCTCTTTGCTGATCTTCCTTTTAAATCTGTATCTCTCCTCATGCTGGGCAGAACTTCTCTTTTGCAGCAGACTGCCTTGTCTCTGAAATGGATACACGGTGTCTGTGTGAGGGTTCACAACCTGAGCCAGCACTACAGGAAGAGGCACTCAGCTGCGAGGGGAAGTTCTCCCCAAGCATGAGAAGAGATGCAGATTTAAAAGGAAGAGCAGCAAAGAGAAGGGAAACTACCACGGATTACAGTAAGGCACACATTACAGTATTGGTTTATGTTAAAAAATCTGAGGGTTTAATGTCACTTTAAGTATTTCATATGCTTAACACACCATGTATCCCATACTATACTGCAGATTAAGGCCAGGTTCACACCGCGTGGCAATCGTGCACAAACCTGTGCAAATGGTCACGTGGTCACGGAATTGCACACCATTTCTGATCAAGCTGGCGTGCCATTCTTTTCTAATGGCACCCCAGTTGAGCTAGGCAGATCGCGCAGTTTCCCACTGCGATTCTGCCCGTGCAATTGTGAAAGATCGCAGCGGAAAAAACGTGTGTTGCGGAAAAATGGTACGTCTCTTTTTTTCAGCGATAATCAATGGGGTCGCGCGGCTAACGCTGTATGGAAAGGCACACGAACACGCAGTCCCAGGACGCGTGTCGCGGGAACGCCCAAGTGTGCACCCGGCCTTAATAGCCACTCAAACTGCCCATGAAGTTTGGTTTTCTGGTCTAATGAACAAAATAATATTCTGTACAGAGGTGAATATTACTAAGAAGTCAGCTTAAATTATTCCGCTTAAACTTGATTCCTAATTATTGTTCAGTAAGTAAAAACTGTTCAATTTAAAATGACAGTTTCACATTTCAAGGATCATCTTAACTCATATCCTTATGTAAGGGATTACATAAGAGGGTCCAGAGGCTGAAACTACCAATGGGACCAAAAATAGAAGTGTTCCTTTAATTTTACCACATGTATAGCCCACTGCACACATTCAATACAAAATAAAGATGTTTTTCTTTCCTTCCCTTTCCTTTTATCTGCTTCTTGAGCCTCTTGTATATAAGGCTTACTAAAGACAATGCAAATATATAGGGTAACCTGCTTGGATTGTGGCTTTTAATATTGCCTCCACACTTACTTGTGCCCAATGCTAGTTGTGCATATGTTTATAAGGGCTCATATACACAAGCTATGATTTAAAACACTTAGCATAAATCAGTGCAATCTGCTAAATTAACTGTAATGCCAAGGGCTGAAACAAAATTAGGCCTAATCGGACATCCACCACTGCCCTGTTGCGGCATCAGGAGAGAAGAGAAACACACAGTTTTCCTGGTTACATGGAGCACTAGCCTTCCTCCCAAATGACAGTGATTATGCTTCCTAATTGGCCACTCAGCCAGCCAGAGCTGTCACATCTGGGTGGAGAGAGTTCTCAACTCCATGCAAGATCTAAGTCACAGCTTGGAGCTTACACAGGACTTTCACTTTTCACAATGTTGGCAATTTAGAGCAGCAGAGGAAAGAAAGGAAGGTAAAAGTTTGTAGCTGAGGAGGGTGGCAGTTAAGTGAACCTGTTGCTTTGCTCTGCAGAAGCAAAGCGAAGGTTTATTTTTGATCTTATCAAGTTAAAATAGACATCTATTTTTTGCAAATTTGTCACTGCTTCATCAATTACAAAATAAGTACATGTACATTTGAGTGCATAACATTTTTCATATTTGCAAATTATAAATGGAAACCTATAAAGAGAGAATATGAAGGCTGCCAGGCTTCTCCCTCTGAATATGCTACTTGCCTGGCTGTCTCTGATACTTTGACTCACTGACCAAGTATAAGTACGCAAATACAGATTTCTGGCTTTCCTCCTGATCAGCATACTTGTTGTCAGAGATTGACTTAGAAAGTAAAGGCCAACGTGTTAGCACAGGTGTCAGGCCTAAAAAAGCATTTGCATATCACGTCTTGATGACCTGATATATCCCTGCTTGTCAAAAGACAGTGACTCATCAAGTAGTGAAGGAAGGCCTAAATTATAAAAAGGGTCCTAAATTAACAACTGATTGACTATTCGTTATATTTATACTTAACCACTTGAAGACCGTGGTGATAAACCCACTTCCGTCCAGGCCATTTTTCAGTATTTAGCGCTGGGATTCTTTAACATTTATTCAGCTAAGCAATGCCGTAGCATAATACATTTTATATATTTTTTGGGGACAGATAGAGATTTCTTTTGGTGGTATTTAATCACCACTGTTTTTTTTTTTTTATTATTTACTATCAGGGTTATTTACAAAATGGTGAAGAGTTTGGAGAAGTCAGGAGAAGTGAACAATCTAGGCCAAAATAGCTGATTGGGAAAAATTCTCCAGTTCAGCTACGTTGTCCTAGATATTTCCCTTCTCCTGCTTTCTCCAAACTCTTCACCCTTTTGTAAATAGCCCTGTATATAAAGAAAAAAGTACCAAAAATGTTGGTAAAAAACTTTTCCCTATGTTATGTTATAAAACATTCCAAATAAATACATTTAGGCAAAAACATATTCTTTTCTTTGGTCACATCGGGTAAATAGATACCAAGCATGTCAAGCCTCAAAATTGCATGTGCCCGTGAAAAAACTATCATACCCAAAATTGTCCATAGGCGACACTGTAAAAGCTTTTACTGTTCATCGATGTAGTGTTTTAATGGGCGTAGAATTATTGCTTACACTGCAAAGTTTGCACATAGGCACACGCTACACATGTTTGTATGTGCATGCAGGGGGGACTTAAAATATTTTTTTGCGTTTTCAAATTTTTTAATATGTGACCCCCTATGTGATAGCACAAATACAGTGACAGGTCCTCTTTATGAAAAGATCAGGTATCTATTAGACTCCCCATGTCACCTCTAGACCCCAAAGAACCTAATGAAGCAGCACACATGCTTCACCAGCTTCCTCTTTGGCTATAGCAGTTGGAAAAATGACACTAAAAGCGGAGAAGTAATGTAATACACATGGCTACCACTTTCGGTGATCGGAGGAGAGATCAGCACACTTCCCTCCAATCTAAGTGCAGTGACCGACCTTGCTGGAGCCTAGGATAGCTACCAGTGACGGCGGAGGGGGGCGCACACTTCTTCAGCACTATACAAGTAATTGGGTGGCTCTATAGCTGTCTGAAAGTTTGTATGTAACATCACTGGCTTTAAAAATGTTCAAAGTTTCCTGCTGCGGGGGCACACGTGAGCAGGAGAGGGAAAAGGCATATAAAAACGTCCATCTCAACCCTCAAGTTTGAGCCGTCCAGCCATTCAGCACTGAATGGCAAGCAGTCAAAGAAGAAAGCCAGGATTGTGAAAAATGAACCCTTGCAGTGGGGCTACTCTAAGGGTTAACTGCTCATTTTGGTCTAGGGATGAAAAGCTAGGCTTCTTGGCTGCAGGGCTATTAGACATGAGGACACCGAGGGACATACCACAGCCAGACTGGAGGGGAGAGAGAGGTGAATGGTCACTACCACAGGACCAAGGATCGGGTGAGTATTTCTTCTTTATTTTCACCCCTATACAAAAACAAACACTTAACTCTTGCAGTGTTCATTTTACAAACTAAGACAAACTGACACAAATTACTTGTACTAACCAAAAATATCAGCTTAGGACTATGCAGATTTCATGTGTGTGTATATACCACAGGTTACTTTTTTGGTAGTCTAGGAGACTTTGGTGTCTTTATAAGCTCATGCAATATTTGTTGTATGTCCACTTATTGCATTTTTTAAAGTTGTTAGAATGGAGATTGGTGATTTATATTATACAACATTTTAACCAATGGTGGTCTAGCTCTGCTTCTTATTATTTTTATTATAGTGACCAAAAAATGTAGGCCAACCTAGAATATGAATGTTTCATTTCAGACCATATCAATTATTTGATGGAATTGATGGTCTTACAATTGTGCTAGTGTATTGTTCCTTCTTATAACATAGGGGGTTATTCACAAAGCTAGCCGAAGGATCAGCCGTAGCTAGTAGAACCGGAGGGCTGCTGTACGGGCTATTCACTATAGCCCGTACAGCTCCCGAAGTTGGCCGATCGCCTCCGTTGAGCCGGAGGCATATGCTTCAGCTCGACTGAGCCGAGGTGAAAGCCTGCTACTGACAGCTGGGCTGGCTCCAGCCACTTGCAATGACAGATCAGCGTGCCCTGGTTCCCAGGTAACCAGGGGACGCTGAACTGTCATTACAATGAGAGCTCAGCAGAGCCAGCTTTGATATCACGGCTGGCTCTGCTGAGCTCTCATGACAGTTCCTCTGGTTACCAAGTAGTGGTAGAGCAGTGTAAATGGGAGGACTTCAGTCAGAAGATGCAAGAGCAGAAAAATGAGGGCTGCGAGGTGTACTGATTCCTGGAAGTCAATAAGGTGGCTGGAAGCTTCCATATTGCTCCTGGTAAAAGCTTCCAGCAGTCTCACGTCCACGCCCACGACTTACAGAGCTTTGGATTTGACAATATAAATATGACCCATCATATCAAACATTGTCATTTGGGAGACCAGGGGGCGCTGAACTGTCATAAGAGCTCAGCGGAGCTGGCCGTGATATCAAAGCCGGCTCTGCTAAACTGTCATTACAATGAGTGCTCAGCGGAGCCGGCTTTGATATCACGGCCAGCTCCACCAAGCTCTCATTGTAATGACAGCTGGTCTCGGCCAATAGGAAAGTTGGTTGGAGCTAGCTATCACTGCTAGCTCCACCCAATCGTTTTCTACTTTTTTTGTTTACTGTTTTTCTTTTCTACCTCCGTGGTACCGTGCAGAATAGCCGAGCCAAATGCTGATCGTCGGCATCCGGCTATTCACTCACTGCTGTTCGGCCCCTATGAGAATAGGCCGAACAGCAGCGAGTAGCCTGCCGGAGGTTCGGCTCAGCTGATCCAGATGTTGGATCGGCTGAGTCGAACTCCTTCTGCTCTTCGGGGTTAGCATGCTTAGCATGTTCGGCCGACCCGAAGCCGATATACGGCTGGAATCAGTTGTACAAACCTGAAGTGAATAACTGAACAGCGTTCGTCTCACTTCACTCCGGGTCGGTTATTCACACGGCTGCCTTTGGATTAGTGTCACTTATTTATACTTGTTTGAGAATGCCTTAAATCCCCACTGATTGAATAAAATTCATTTAACTCTGTACATATTTTACAATAATCAGGTTTCATGCATGTTTAGACCAGGGGCATTGCAAAAAGGGGCACAAGTAGAAAAGTCTCTTTCTGAAAAGGTTTATTGGCAAATAGTGAGTGTGGCCATACTATGGCTAATAGTGGTAGTGGCTTAAAGGGGAATGGTTAAATAGAGCCTTCTCACTGTATACATTGCACACATATGCTACAATCCTTCTACACAGGACTACTCCTTAAAGGAGAACTATGGGGTTAAGTCTTTTCCCCATAGTTCTCCTTAGGGTAACGGGAGGACACAAACTAGCATCCTCCCATCACCCTAGGCTCAGTATACCGCGAGCTGTAGCTTGCGGCATACTGAGACGCCGCAGTATACCGCAAGCAGCTGCTCGCGGTATACTGAGACGCCGCAGCTGAAGTGGATCCCGACAATTGTGCCGGGAACAGCCCAGCTGCATGACTGACAGCTGGCTTTGCCTATCTAAAGGCAGAGCCAGCTGTACACGCCCCCTCCCCCGTCCGTTCCGCCAGTCAGCGCTAGCGGGGAGGGGGGAATCCAGCCCCTCCCCTGTCACGGCAGAGAGCCGTGACAGGATCAAGAGGTGAGCGAACGCCGGTATTTGTTCACTCACCTCCCGATCTACTGAGCCGACCTGTGACAGTCTCATTGTCACAGGTCGGCTAGAACTATGAGGTGAGTGAAAATCACTCACCTCATAGTTCTCCTTTAATTGCTGTGTCATAAGTTGAGAATCTTAAACACACACAGAAGACTCAGAACAAAAGATACTTTTTACAAATTAAACTCTTCCATTACCTATGCTTATACAGAGAACAAACACTTGTGTCTGAAAATAGTGGAATAAGGAATTAATTATACCTGTCTCAAACAGGTTTACCATGGGTATGAACAGTATTTGACACAGTCATTCTTCATTTATACAGACAGCGAAAATCATCCAGATGGTAGAATAGACACATTCAATATCATATTAACAATATATTACATTTTTAGTTGCCAGTTTTATATGCATGGATTTATGTTGAAATGGATAGGTTTTCTATTATGCTACTTTCTGTACGGACTGTTTTCAGTTGTTTAATGCAATTATTTACTGGTATGTTTTTTTTTTTCTACCTTAGACAAAAAGCATTCAAAGTGGTACTCAAAAGAAGGTAAAAAGAACACTGCCAAACCCTCCACCAGAGGAAGCTAGCAATGGCTTGCAATCGCCTTACAGCACTGTTGGATCAGTTTCTAGAAGAAGAATTTGTAGAACAACCACAATGGCTCGTGCTAAAATTCTGCAAGATATTGATAGAGAATTGGATCTAGTTGAAAGGGAATCTTCAAAACTACGCAAGAAACAAGCAGAACTAGATGAAGAGGAAAAAGAAATTGATGCAAAACTGAGATACCTTGAAATGGGAATTAATAGGAGAAAGGAAGCTTTATTGAAAGAGAGAGAAAAGAGAGAGAGAGCTTACCTGCAAGGTGTTGCTGAAGAACGTGATTACATGTCAGACAGTGAGGTCAGTAACACAAGACCAACCAGAATAGAAAGTCATATTGGCATAGACAGACCACAAACTGCCCCACAGCCAGAATATAGTGCTTATTTACCACCACAAACTCAGGCAGAAACTCAGTTTGCTCCACAGACAAGCCCTTACACTCAGTACCAATATCAGACTCCTACTTTGCTTACTCAAGCTCCAACACAATTTCCTCAGCAATCCCACTATCAGCCATCATTATATCATCAACAGGTTTCATCTTACCAAACTCAACCAGCTTTCCAAGCTGTGCCAACTATATCCTTTACTTCTCAGTCTACACCAACCCAACAGACTTCTTATCAACATGCTTCACAACTTTTACTATTACAGCAAAAAACTAGACAAGGTGCATTAGATATGGAGCCTACAATTCCTTCACACTATGATGTTATTAGAAACCAGCCTCTCATAATTACACCCGTTTCTACTGATAGTTACTCTGTTTCTCATCTTGGCAGTAAATACAGTACTTTGGATTTACGATTAGGACTAGATGAAAAAAGCAGCATGGCAAGTAGTCCAATGTCTAGTATATCTGCAGATTCATTTTATGCTGATTTAGAGCATCATGCCTCCAGGAATTATGTTCTCATCGATGATATTGGAGAACTTACCAAAGGATCTGGGTCTTTGAGCTCTGCATATGGATTACATGAAAAAGAACTTTCAAAAACAGACCGTCTCCTTCGAAGTGTTGAATGTAGAAGGACCGCTGAAGTAACAGACTTTTTAGCTCCTATTTCATCTTCAACCCGATTACATAGCTATGGAAAAGCAGAAGAAGATTCAATGGAGGATCCATATGAGTTAAAACTCCTTAAGCATCAAATAAAACAGGAATTTCGAAGAGGTACAGAAAATGTAGACCCCCTTGCTGGATTTTCACCCTATTATCATTCAGACAGTCTATACAGACACTTCCCAAAAACAGAAAAATATAGCATTAGCAGACTCACGTTAGAAAAACAAGCTGCCAAGCAGCTACCTCCTGCTATTCTGTACCAAAAACAGTCTAAGCATAAAAAATCATTAATAGACCCCAAAATTTCTAAATTTTCTCCAATTCAGGAAAGTCGAGACCTTGAGCCTGACTATTCAACCTATCTTTCTTCCAGCACATCATCAATTCCAAGCATATCTACAAAGGTAAGAATGCTTCAGGATGATATTACATATGGCTTAAGGAAAAATATTACAGATCAGCAAAAATTTTTGGGCCCTGCCTTAGGTCAAACCCCTGGATCATCTCTTAATACAAATCTGAGAACTGCATTGCAAGATGAAGTTGATAAACCTTATGTAAGTGGTAATAGATCAAGACCTTCTTCTAGACCTTCATCAGTATATGGCCTTGATCTCTCAATTAAGAGAGATGTATCAAGTTCTTCATTAAGGCAGAAAGCCAATGAGGGAGAGCAATTAGATGGGACATTTAGCCATGTAGCACCCTCAGGAAGAACAAAACCATCTAGTCTTCCTATTAGTCAAAGCAGGGGAAGGATTCCAATTGTAGCACAAAATTCTGAAGAAGAGAGCCCATTAAGTCCCGTTGGACAGCCAATGGGTATGGCAAGAGCTGCTGCTGGACCATTGCCGCCAATATCTGCAGATACCAGAGATCAGTTTGGTTCTAGCCATTCCCTGCCTGAAGTACAACAACATATGAGAGAAGAAACCAGGACTCGGGGTTATGATCGAGACATAGCATATATCATGGATGATTTTCAACATGCCATGTCTGACAGTGAAGGTAATCATGGCGTCAGACTGCTTTCCTACTATCACAACACAAATTTTCATTTCTATGCATGCTATTAATTTATTTTGTGATTGTTGAAATGTTTCTTTTCTTGTGTTTTTTTATGTGTTTTTCACTGTCATTATTTTAAAGTATTTTCTCTTGTTTAATATTTCAAACTTGATCTTTTTTGTTTGGCCCCCCTTTGTGTTATATTTGTGTTAAGGCTTTGTATAACACCTTTATTATTATTATTATTATTTTTATAGTTTCTATTATGATTCCTATTTTTTTCTGAATTGACATGCTTATTCCAACAAATTAGTCATGATTTTAATTTTTCTTCTGCCCTGCATAACAATGGTGTTTTTGTGTGTATATATATATACATATATATATACATATATACACACTATATTACCAAAAGTATTGGGACGCCTGCCTTTACACGCACATGAACTTTAATGGCATCCCAGTCTTAGTCCGTAGGGTTCAATATTGAGTTGGCCCACCCTTTGCAGCTATAACAGCTTCAACTCTACTGGGAAGGCTGTCCACAAGGTTTAGGAGTGTGTATATGGGAATGTTTGACCATTCTTCCAGAAGCGCATTTGTGAGGTCAGGTACTGATGTTGAATAAGAAGGCCTGACTCACAGCCTCCGCTCTAATTCATCCCAATAGATGTTGAGGTCAGGACTCTGTGCAGGCCAGTCAAGTTCCTCATCCATGTCTTTCTGGACCTTGCTTTGTGCACTGGTGCACAGTCATGTTGGAACAGCAAGGGGCCATCCCCAAACTGTTACCACAAAGTTGGGAGCATGAAATTGTCCAAAATGTCTTGGTATGCTGATGCCTTAAGAGTTCCCTTCACTAGAACTAAGAGGCCAAGCCCAACCCCTGAAAAACAATCCCAGACCATAATCCCCCTCCACCAAACTTTACACTTGGCACAATGCAGTCAGGCATTCCCCTGGCAACCGCCAAACCCAGACACATCCATCGGATTGCCAGACAGAAAAGCATGATTTGTCACTCCAGAGAACACGTCTCCACTTCTCTAGAGTCCAGTGGCGGCGTGCTTTACACCACTGCATCAGACGTTTTGCATTGCACTTGGTGATGTAAGGTTTGGGTGCAGTTGCTCGGCCATGGAAACCCATTCCATGAAGCTCTCCACACACTGTTGTTGTGCCAATCTAAAGGCCACATAAAGTTGGGAGGTCTGCAGCTATTGACTCTGCAGACAGTTGGCGACTTCTGTGCACGGTGCGCTTCAGCATGCGATGACCGCGCTCTGTCATTTTACATGACTTACCACTTCATGGCTGAGTTGCTGTTGTTCCCAGTTGCTTCCACTTTGTTATAATACCACTAATAGTTGACCGTGGAATATTTAGTAGCAAGGAAATTTCACGGAACACCTGAATCCAATGATTTGGAGGGGTGTTCCAATACTTTTGGCAATATAGTGTGTGTGTATATATATAT